ACCCCATCCTGTTACCATCCACCCACTTCTGTAGTCTGTCTAAATCTAATTGCAGCCTCTCTCTCCCTTCGAGTGTGCCTACCTCTCCCCACATCTTGGTGTCATCGGCAAACTTGGACAACATATTTTCCACCCCCTCGTCCAAGTTGCTGATGAAGATGTTGAACCATGTAGGCCCCAGGACCGATCCCTGGGAGACCCCACTGTCCACATCCCGCCAGGTCGAATATGACCCATACACCACCACTCTCTGGGTGCGCCCCATCAGCCAATTTTTGACCCATCCAACTGTGTAAGCATCAATGCCACAGTCGCTCAATTTACTAATGAGAATGGGGTGAGAGACAGTGTCAAAGGCCTTCTTAAAGTCCAGAAAAACTACATCCACGGAAAAACCATCATCCAGGGATTTAGTTACCTGGTCATAAAAGGCCATCAGGTTGGTCTGGCAGGACCTGCCTTTGATGAACCCATGTTGATTTCCCCTGGGCATGATCTCCGCTGCTGGCCCCTCACAGATGTGATCCTTGATAATTTTTTCAAGGATTTTCCCCAAGACTGATGTGAGGCTTATGGGCCTATAGTTTCCTGGGTCCTCCTTTCTCCCTTTCTTATAAATGGGGACTATGTTAGCTAGTTTCCAATCTCCGGGCACCTGGCCCATGGACCACAATCGCTTGTACAGCTGGGCCAAGTGCACAGCAATGACCCCCGCCAGCTCTCTCAACACCAGTGGGTGGAGGGCATCAGGGCCCGCAGATTTAAAAACATCCAGCCCTTCCAGAAGATCCCTAACTACATCTGCACAGACCCGAGGCCTGGCAGTGCTATCCCCAAGATTGGCCCTACCTGTGGAGGAAGAGCTGTCCTGGACCAGTTCAAGAAAAGAGAGGCAAAGAACTTGTTAAAAATTTTGGCTTTCTCATCTGGCGTAGCCACAAGATTACCATTTGAGTCTAGCAGGGGCCCTACATTACCTGGTGCCCTCTACTTACTCCCAATGTATTTGAAGAAGGACTTTTTGTTGTTCCTTAATCCTGGTCACTAGCCTGAGCTCCACCCCCGCCTTGGCCTTCCTAATGGCCCTCCTACACTCATGGGCCAAGGAGGCGTATTCCTCCTTGGTGATAGCCCCTCCCTTCCACCGGGTGTATGTCTCCCTTTTGGCCCTCAGGCATTCTCGAATGCCTTTGCTGAACCATTGGGGTTTCAGAGCACTCTTACCCCCCTTCTTTCTCTCGGGGACTGTCACACTCTGAGCCTGGGAGATTGTTCCCTTAAGGTATGACCATCCCTCATGGACTTCCATATCCTCTACCTTTTGTGCCTCTCCCACTAATCCACTACCTCAGTGCCTCTCCCACTAATCTCCTAAATTCATTGAAGTTGGCCCTTCTGAAGTCAGGGGACTTAGTCTTGGTATAAGCCCTCAACACCCTGCGCTGGATGGTGAATTTCAGCAGGCGATGATCACTGTCACCCAGGTGGTCAAGGACCTGCAGTTCCCTCACCAGGTCATCCCCAGTGGCCAAGACCAGGTCCAGCAAGTCATCTCCCCTAGTGCAGCTGTGCACCTCCTGGATAAGGTGGAGGTCCTGTATTTCAGCTAGGAACCTACGCAAATGGTCAGACCTGGCTGACTGCTCCTCCCATAGATCTGATTGTAATAGAATCAGCTTAGCAATGACCTCTTTGGGGCATAAAATGAAAAGACGTAAAATGTTTTATCCATCAACAGGTGGAAAACAATTATTATACCTTTAGAATGGGTGGCACTAGAAGTGCATTTTAATATAGTGATCCTGAGGCCAAAGATCCTACTGTGATACAAATAAATAATAGGGTGGGAAGCACTTATATATTTGTTTATCATAGTTGGAGACACGTGACTGATAATTGCAAGGATAGTACTGATGATTATGTTTTGCTAATGCTCACAGACTTGACTTCATAAGTAGTAAGCTTGGTGGACTTACAAATGTGAAATGTTAATTTTATGTATGGGTTTTTTCTAATTTTTAAGACTCTTCAGATAAAAATAAACCACCTACAAGAGGAGCTCAAAACCTCAGAAGTAGCTGCTTTGTAAGTATTAGCAACACTTATATTTGGGTTAAAAATAGTACCCAAAGTATTTACATGCAATTCATATATAGTTAGATGCTATTTGTTGTTGTCTTTACATAGCATTAAGCAGATACGTGGCCTCTGTATAGAATAGTTGCTTCCCTCCTCCCCCATAAAGCTTAGAAGCTAACACAATTGAAGTTTATATTTGGAGTATCTCAGCCAATGAGTGTCAGGACAGATTGTGATCTGGAAGGTGGATTATCTCCTTTTCAGAAGAGAAATCTGTGGGACAGGCTCAGGATCTCCTTTTTTGGTATTTTTCATGTTCAGTGTGTACCAAATTCTTATTATTGCTTTGTCAGATGTGGGAATAAAAATAGCAAAAGCAGTAGTAAAGCGTAGTGCCACTTGCAGAACTCCAGCTCAGCAGCTCTGTCCTCATTTAACCAGTGCTTTCTCACATCTGCCTGGTTGTGGCTCATATTCAGACTGTGCACTTCCAAGCACTAGATTTAGCACTCCACCCATCTTTGACACCTCTGCTCTGCAATATGGGAAGTTCCCTAAATGTTGCCTGTTTTCACTTATTCACTTAAGTTCTTGCTCAAGTACTTTTAGATAAAGAACAATTACCTACATCAAAGTATGTTAGTAATATGATTAGACCCTCCTGAGGTTTCCCTTTCAGTTTTTTCCCCCAGTAATACCATTACTGGTAGACTGAATATTCACTTTTGTACACTCATATTTTAATACGAACAGCGATGACATTTGTGCAGCAACATGTTATAGACAGCAAAATCCCAAAATTCTAACATTTAGCAAAAGACCAGACTTAAGGAGATTAAATGGGTTAGACTCTGACGTCCCCTGGGTGGATTTAGGGTAAATTTACCTCTATTTCAGCTCTCTTATAATAGGCTATCATGGTACAAATGGTCCAGAAACCATTGTTATTATCACGATACCTGCACAGCTGGGATGAAAGGAAGTAAAAATGCCAGCATGTTTTTTACATTAGTGCTTGTGCTGTTGCTACCATGCCATACCAGTTGCTGTTGCTACCATGCCATACCAGTGTGAAATATCCAGATCGACTCTTGTCACCGGAGTCATGGAGGGGGATAATCTAAATCTCTTATCACTGCCCAGTTGGAATAGAGTTGCACTGACTTAAAGGAAGCACCCAGTATTGTCCATAATCCAAAACTAACAAAACTGATTAATTGCTCTGTTCCATGGAGCAATTCTGATGATAATATGTAACTACAATTAGTTCGTATAATAAAATGTTGTGATAAAAATGTGTTTTGGAACAATCTATTGTATTGCATTTGGACTCAAAGGCCCCAGCTGGAATCAGAGCCCAGTGGTACCAAGGGATGTACAAAGACGACAAGATTTCTGGCCAAAATAATTTTCAGTATGATTTAATCAAAACAGCAAGTATAACAAGCAGAAGGAAGTACGAGTACAAACGGCAACACTTATAAAGTCAGGCAGTTAGACAGACTGTCCTTTGGCACAGCTTGATGTTTGCAAATCCTTGGTGTTCTTTTCAATTTAAATATAGGGTAGAAGTGATGTTAAGGGGACTCTCAGAACTTCAAAGGAGACATAAGAGTATGAGTAAAGGAAAGAAGGGAGGAAATAATAGAAAAAGAGGATAATGAGCAATATAGCGAGGAATACATAAGGGGGGATGCAGCTTGCAATGAAGGTAGAGGAAGGAGGAGTTTAAAGCAAATAATCCTTCAGCAGACAGAAAAGAGCATCCAGCTGACTGACATTATTAGTGTTCCTGAAGGTAGCACTGCTTTCTGCACTGGGGTTCCCAGGGGTTGGCTTCGACCTGGAAGCCTCTGTCTGCTTCCCCACAACCAAACCAGCCATGGAAGGGAAATGCACTTGGGGTGTAGTTCCTCAGAGAGGCTAAGTGTTTTCTGAAAAGCCATTTTATGTCTAGGCCTACTAGGGAGAAGAAGTAGAGGTTGAAAACAAACCCAAACCCAGAAACTCAAGATTCAAGAAGAGAGAAAAAATAAAAAATAAAGTATTGCATATGACATTCTCTAGTAAGAAGGATTCTGATGTTGCTAGCTTCACCCTCAGCTCCCCTTTCTCCCCTTTATTATTTTGCCAAAAATGGCACAGTGAGTTTGAAAAGCAATTGTGCAAAAATGCAAACCCTTCCACTATCCAGTTATCTGCTAGGTCACAGCTTCTTTCTTTGCTGAAGCAAATTTTTGTTAGCACTGATGAGCTAAGCTGAGATGGTGCAGCTGTAGAAGAGTCAGGTAGATTCTGTTTTGGTGTCTTTTTTCACAGCCAGCCAGCAATGCAGGAGGAAGGCTGCTCAGAGCCACCGATGCATGAGAGGACCAAAGGAAACCTGGTAAGAACCTGCAGTGTTCTTCTCCCTGTTCCTCCATGCAGAGGTATAACTAGGAAGTTGACCACCAGGCCACCAGGGCAGCAGCTGGGCCAGTGGTGACAGCAGAAGCAGCTGTGGCAGTGGTGGCAGCAGCTGCCATTCTTGCTTCTCCTCTAAGTCAGCTCCCCAGGCTTGGTACCCCACTCACCCACCCTGAGTTATGCCACAGCCTCAACTCCTTTCCCTATCTATTCTTGTGCTACAGGATGCAAACCAAGCTACTTTCTGCTGTTAGACTTGACTTGCATTTTTTAACCTTTGAGGCTCATGATACCACCTCAACCCTTATGATGGAATCACAGCAACTGACCTACTTGCCTTGTTAGTCCTTAGGGAGTGGCTGAGACCTTTAATTCTTCATTGTTTGTTCTCTCTAGAAAGAAAAAAAAAAAAACATTTCAAACCAATTTACAGTTCTTTCCCTTTTTCTGTGTTTGTAGAGCCAGAAGTTAATGAATAGGTATTTAAAGAAAACACTTTCCTGGTTCAGGTGGGTAAAATGCTTTGCAAGTTTACAGGTCTGGCCAGCTTTTGTTTGGAAAGGAAGTTTTGATCCCCTCTCCAGAAGGGCTCCAGTGCTCATGAGCTGGTAGCTAGAGGAGGGAGAATTTTATCTACAACGTACTAGAGAAACAAAGGATAGAGATAATATTGGTGTGGGACATGGGATCTCTGGGTTCTCATCCCAGATCTTTCACTAGGTTTGCTACATGACCTTAAGAAAGTTGTTTAACATTTCTAGGCTTCGGTTACCCATTGGAAAAATATAAACTGTCCACACTTACCTTGCCTGTTGCCTGTTCCTATGCTAACCTCCAAAGCTGCTGTCACTGTCCACACACCCACATCAATGGCTCAGTCCTCCTTTGCAGTATGGACTTGCAACAAAAGATTCCAGGAAGGAAGGCCATTCTCCCTGAGAGGGCTTTGCCATCTAATACCTTTTCTCCACCCAAAGTGCAAAATAGGTCAAACTTGTTATTCTTCAGAGCATGCCATTAAAGTCCCATATTCTGTTAGGCTCCAAGGAAGTAGGCAAATTGCTGAGGGTTTGAGTGTCACAGACTGACTCAAATGAGCTGGTGTTTCATACTCGTTCTGTTTGTAGAGCTCACTGAGCATAGGAATATTGGAGCTCAATATCAAGAAATCTTTCCTCACAAACAAACTTGTTCACTGTGAGAGAGTCTCCCAAAGGGAATTGATGGAAATCTTAGAAGGGCTGGAAAGTCACCTAAGAGGGCTGGAAAGTCACCTCCAGGGCCATCTAGTCCAATCCCCTGCACAATAGACAAGTTTTACTGTACCCTCAAAAAAGGGAATGTGAACTTTACTGGACAAAGCAACAGTAGATAGGAAAGTTAACACACACAGGAGAAGCGGGCTTAATTCCTATATCTGCCTCAAGTTGCACAAAAGTTTGGTATGTTACTTAATCTTGCTGAATCTCAGTTCTCCATCTGTAAAATGGGAATAATAATTACTTTTTCCTGGTCTTTGCTTGTCTTGTCAATTTGTGTGCCTCTCTCTCACTGCAGGAACCCATGGGAGCAGTTTGGCAAAGTCTTATTGTGCCTAACCATTCTTCTCACACTGATTATATTGTATAGACATTTCTTTTCTACTACTTTGATATGCCCGTTACTGAAAGGGTACCACCGCCACAACTACACTGGTCACCTTCGACCACACTGACACAGAAGATATGAAATAATGGCATGGATTGCGACAACACTGTTCTACTAAAATGCTTCTGGGAAAAGCAGCACCTGAAATAATTAACTAAAAAAATAAAGCTTCCATCAACACCATGAGTTTGTTACGATATAATTTTCTGCTGAGATTGGCTTAACTTCCTCCCCGATGTCAGTCTTTTTCCCTCCAGTCTATACAAGAGCCTGTGTTCCTCCAGTTCTTTTCTATGATTAGAGGTGAATCTGGATTATAGAAATGAGTTGTATTGCTAAATTCCAAACAGCAAAGAAAATGTAAGGAGTTTGGTTTAGGTGCGTTTCTAGTGATGTCTGAAAAATTAGGGACAAACACTAAATTGTCATAGCTTTAAATCAGTGGAGCAATATCAATTTAAAATAGCTGATCTCTGCCCCAGCAAATGTATTTTTTCAGACTTTAGAAGTGTGATGCATGTCGCTCCAAGTATAAAGATAGCAGTTCCTGTGGACTGCTTCACAGAAAACTGCAGTTGCTCCACTCCACCCTCACCCCATGGTCACTAAGCTATCTTGCACATATTCTGTGGTTTGCTGTACTTAAAAGTTTAAAAAACAACATAAGCCACAGTTCAGTTTTCTTTTCTGATATATTTTTTTTCTGTCTTTAAGGCTTTTCTCAAGTATTTCCTATGTTCTACTTCATTTTTCTTTAAGAGCCACTCCTACCACCTTCTTTCAAGTTTGGAGTAACAAGCTACCTAGTTTTCACATCTATTTTGTGATTTCTTCCAGGTTCTCCCTTATAAATACAATGTCCTTCCTGACCGTTTCTGAATTCAGGTCACTACAGAAACCCCCATTTCATATTAATTCCTGTGGAAAACTTGCAAATGGGTAATAGCTTCCTGGAGGAGAAGCTAAGGTATAAGTTGTGTCCTATTTACCTCAATTTGTTAACATAACTACATGGTAGTTGTACTTCCCATTGATTGATGTCTGTTTGGGTTGGTTGTCTGAATCTTAACTGTGCGTTCTTCATGGCATTGGACCCTGCCTACTTCTGTGTTTTGGAAAGCTCCTGTGGATGTTCTCAGAAAGAGTCTATTCAAGTCACGATTTTGTGGATTTCACAGAAACCCCGAAAAAAAAAAAAAAAAAAAA